TACCCCTGTCTTCCTCTCTCCTTTATTTTTCTCACTCTTCTACTTGCACACCATAGTACACATACACACTGTTTACTAAACATACTTAAGTGGACTAGCTGTGTCAACACAAGTGATCTAACTACCAACTAAAGCGAACGCATCGTTTGACAGTTGAAACTTTACCCAACAAACCGTCTGTTCTCACCGGATAAGACCGACTTCCGGTAGAATTGTGTAAGGGTCAGCTGAAAGTTGAAATCTCAAACACATTCAAAGTCGCCTCTTGTTCTCGGGTACAGAGAACACCCCTTAATTAAACAATTACATTTTTAAATTATCAAACCTTAATTAATTAAAGTTTTAAAGGCTCTAAAGTTGCATTATTGGGCTAAATGTACATCAAGATACATGAAGCATTCAGAAAAACATTTTTCACCAACATTAATATTTTTTTTAAATGCATCTGCATCTAAACTTTGGGCTATTGCATGGAATTACTGAATTATAAATTAAAAAAAAATAATATCCATTAATAAAGCAGTATGAGAACAGTGATATTGTAATGTAAATGTACAGTGTAAGATCATATGACATGTTTACAACTATACTGTATAGGAACGTGTATCATTTGTATATGAACATAAGACATGTACAACAGAGCTGTATACGAACACATGACATTTATAAAACTATATTGTATAAGTTAGTATGAGAACACATGACATACTGCAACACTAACAAGTCAGAAGACGCACCCACTTAAGAAGGACAACTCCAGTGACAACTTGTCCCTTGTGCGTGTAAACCCATCGCCATACGCGCATCTATCTTGCATTTTGTCGCCACAATTTTATTTCCTAAAAATGTCTGGTGATCGCTGTCCCTCCATGGGTTAGGATTAGTTTGGACATCTAAGTATAGTAATGTGCAGTTCATCTATTCTCGCGTATTTTGGTGAATGAGAACTCAGGTAAAAGTGTTGTTAAAAAAAAATAATTAAATGTAATGTTTTAGTAATGTTTACAAATATTTAGTACTGTTTTTAAGCTAGCTGTTAATTCATTATTAAAAAGAAATTGTGTTAGTTATGGTAAAAAAAAATCTTTGATAATCAAGCTGTTAATTAATAGTTTTTTTGGTCTATTTTAGAAATGTTAATTCTGTTTTGTTTAATGCAGTAAGTAAGCAAGCTATTAGAAATCAAGAAGATTCCTAAATGTTTTTTGTGTAGCTGTTTTAGTAATGCTAGGGATGATGATGCGTGGGACGGTGTGGTTTAATGGAAGAGTGTTTGTCTGCTAAGTCCGTGGCTTGCAGTGTTTCTTTCAAACTTTATTCTCGGAAAGGGGGAATGGCACTGGTAAAATTATATATTTTCTAAATAAATTCTATTTCGTTCGGGGGGTAGTACATGGGGATGAAGGAAATGAACCCACCCAAGAGATGCATGAAAGAAACACTGCTGGCTAGTGTTGTAGCACGTCTCTGTGTCCACACAACTCTGATGGGTCCCTGACTTACATTAGGAAAAGTAAAGACGGCTGGAAATAGTGTTGGGCCCACTATTCACTCACATGCTCAGATTACAGAAACAGAGCAACTCCATTTCACCTACTCCTGGGGCCCCACGGCCGAAAAGGAACTTAACTAACTTTTGCTAGCTTGTTGTCGTGGTAACTTAATGTTTGTATTGTTATAGATCTAGGTTTATATAATTATACCCTCTATATCTCTATATCTCTATATCTCTATATCTCTATATCTCTATATTTCCATACATCTATATCTCTATATCTCTATATTTCTATATCTCTATATCTCTATATATCTATATATCTATATATCTATATATCTATATCTCTATATCTCTATATCTCCATATATCTATATATCTATAAATCTATATATCTATATATCTATATATCTATATATTTATATATCTATATATCTATATATCTATATATCTATATATCTATATATCTATATATCTATATATCTATATATCTATATATCTATATATCTATATATCTATATATCTATATATCTATATATCTATATATCTATATATCTATATATCAATAAATCTATATATCTGTATATCTATATATCTATATATTTATATATCTATATCTATATCGATATACTTATATCTATATACCTATATCTATATACCTATATCTATATACCTATATCTATATACATATATCTATATACATTATGCATATATATATATATATATATATATACATATATATATATATATATATATATATATATATATATATATATATATATATATATATATATATATAAACATTAATAACGAAAATCTTTCTTAAAGTTTAGTAAATGTGCTAGAGATAACGGATGATACAATAGGGCTTGTAAGTCTACGGTGTCGAAATCTACTAGCTGGCAAGTACGAGAACGACAAGTTTTGACCTACTTACAAGCCCTTTAGTTTATAACCCTAAAATAGAAAATTCGTCTTCCCACCCCCTCCCCTTCCAACATTACCACTGTAATGTCATATAGCATTTAACCGCCACACCCACTCCTTAACGTATACCACTAGTATTCCATTTGTAAACGTTTCTTCAAAATAAACACTAAATAAAATACTCTCCCAAATGTCCTTAACTATTTATTTTAATGTACGTATATTATTATTTTAACTTCAAACTTTTAGCTCCTGTAAAGTTTCATGTCTTTTCAAAGCTGTAATAAGAAATACTAAAAATTTCTTAAACTTCTCAAAAAGCCATTTTACCACATTGATATATCGAACTTCGTATAACCCCACACCTTTAGTCTGGGCCTGCACTTGAGCTATTTAAATTTTGACCAAGCTCCACTTGAGATACTTGAAGTCTCGACTATGGGAGACCACTCCAAATGTTATCATCAGATTCTATACATATCCAATTGTAGCATTCTGATTGAAATTATTTTTTTGTCTAGATTTTTAAAAGTACAGGTAATATTATTTAATTCATTTCACGGTGATGGCGCCGGTGTTTCTTTCATCTTTAATATTTCTCAGGAGAGGGTGGGCGTACTTGAAACCAACACACATGTGATCTATCTCAACAGGACATATAAACATGTGATCCATACCATCAGACTTTCAAACATGCAATCTCTCTCATTAAACCTAGAATCAAATGCCAGAGCAAGGAACCACAATCATGCCTAAACCAGGGGTCGGCAACCTTTTGAAGCGGAAGAGCCAAAAGTTACAATTTTCTAAATTTCCCTGGTTTTAAAGAGCCACTAACATTTTTTTTATTTCAAATATTTTATTTTTTAATTAAGATTATTAGTATTTTTTCAAGGAGCTGGAGAGCCGCATCTTGATATCAAAAGAGCCGCATGCGGCTCGCGAGCCGCAGGTTGCCGACCCCTGGCCTAAACAAATCCAAGAAATAAAGGATTTCCTTTTATCAGCAAGGAGAAAAAATGCCAAGTCTGTGAAAATCAAGAAGAACAAGGACAATGTGAAGTTCAAAGTCCGCTGCAGTCGCTATCTGTATACATTGGTGAACAAGGATAGAGAAAGGGCTGAGAAACTAAGACAATCTTTGCCCCCAGGTTTAGCTGTCAAAGAATTGAAATAAATAGATAATAAACTATTAAATTAAAAAAAAGAATCAAATGATCTCTCTCCTTAAACCTATAATCATATGATCTCTCTCCTTAAACCTATAATCATGTGATCTCTCTCCTTAAACCTAGAATCATGTGATCTCTCCTTAAACCTAGAATATGTGATCTCTCTCCTTAAACCTAGAATGATGTGATCTCTCCCTTAAACCTAGAATATGTTATCTCTATCCTTAAAATCGGTAGAATCATGTGATCTCTCTCCTTAAACCTAGAATCAAATGATCTCTCTCTTTAAACCTATAATCATGTGATCTCTCTCCTTAAACCTATAATCATGTGATCTCTCTCCTTAAACCTAGAATCATGTGATCTCTCTCCTTAAACCTAAATTCATGTGATCTCTTTCCTTAAACCTAAAATCATGTGATCTCTCTCCTTAAACCTAGAATCAAATGATCTCTCTCTTTAAACCTATAATCATGTGATCTCTCTCCTTAAACCTATAATCATGTGATCTCTCTCCTTAAACCTAGAATCATGTGATCTCTCTCCTTAAACCTAAATTCATGTGATCTCTTTCCTTAAACCTAAAATCATGTGATCTCTCTCCTTAAACCTAGAATTAAATGATCTCTCTCTTTAAACCTATAATCATGTGATCTCTCTCCTTAAACCTATAATCATGTGATCTCTCTCCTTAAACCTATAATCATGTGATCCCTCTCCTTAAACCTAGAATCATGTGATCTCTCTCCTTAAACCTAAATTCATGTGATCTCTTTCCTTAAACCTAGAATCATGTGATCTCTCTCCTTAAACCTAAATTCATATGATCTCTCTCCTAAAACCTAAAATCATGTGATCTCTCTCCTTAAACATAAAATCATGTGATCTCTCTCCTTAAACATAAAATCATGTGATCTCTTTCCTTAAACCTAAAATCATGTGATCTCTCTCCTTAAACCTAGAATTAAATGATCTCTCTCTTTAAACCTATAATCATGTGATCTCTCTCCTTAAACCTATAATCATGTGATCTCTCTCCTTAAACCTATAATCATGTGATCTCTCTCCTTAAACCTAGAATCATGTGATCTCTCTCCTTAAACCTAAATTCATGTGATCTCTTTCCTTAAACCTAGAATCATGTGATCTCTCTCCTTAAACCTAAATTCATGTGATCTCTCTCCTTAAACCTAAATTCATGTGATCTCTTTCCTTAAACCTAAAATCATGTGATCTCTCTCCTTAAACCTAGAATCATGTGATCTCTCTCCTTAAACCTAAAATCATGTGATCTCTCTCCTTAAACCTAGAATCATGTGATCTCTCTCCTTAAACCTAGAATAATGTGATCTCTCTCCTTAAACCTAAATTCATGTGATCTCTCTCCACAGACCCACAAACATGAGTGAAGGAGACATCACTAACGCTAACAGCTACTTCCTCAAACATTCCCTATGGCCTGCCGTCCTCTACACAGCGGTTCTCATGGTTTCGGGAACCGTCGGGAACATCCTGGTCCTGATTGTCTACAGGCACCAGTACAAGAGGAGCGTGACCCGGATGTTTATCTTCATGCTGGCTGCCCTTGACATTGGCAACTGTTTGATCACCATGCCAACGGAGCTCCTGATTCTAACGAACTACGCGTCGTTTCCGTCTCCGGTCTGGTGTAAGATAACGCGGTACCTGACCTACATCTTTAACGGTGCCAGCTCTATCATACTCATCACGATAGCCTTGGACAGGTAACCAGTTTTTTTTTTAAAATTATCTTTTAATCATCCATTTCGGTCAATATAACTGTGCTGATAAAAATAGCTGTTTAATGTTTATAATGGGGTGGTGTGCTAGTTTACCTGAGTGCTAACCAGGGTTTCTTTCAGGCATCTCTTAGAACAAAATAGAAAAAAAATATATTTTATATAGAAATTGTATACTTTTACAGTGTTCGCCCCCCCCCCCCCCCCACCCCCACCATACCCGCTAATTTAAGGTGCCCCGTCCGGGAGAAAAAATTCTGAAAGAAACTCTAGTGTTAAACGTAGTATCCTGAAATTGCCGGCTCTGGTCTATCTCCTCAACAGCCCCCCCTCCATTCTGTGCGAAATAGAAATAAAATGTTATAGAAAAAATATACCATCCAGTGTCGTCGTCTCCCCGCCCCCCACCAGAGGCGTAGCGACCCTTCCCGGCGCCCGGGGACAAACTTTTCGATTTGCACCCTCCTCAACCTTTCAATTTATTTTTCCAACCCATTTTGGCGCCCCCTAAGGTCGGCGCCCGGGGACATATGCCCCCCCCCCCCGCTACGCTACTGCCCCCCACTTCAGGCCGGGAGAAAAACGTCTGGAAATCAAGCATCATAATGACAGCTAGTCCTAATGCTAACCATATTGTTTCCTCAAAGAAATAGATCGCTTTATTTGTATTTGTATTAAATTATTTATTCACATTATGATAATATAAATCCTCTTTCACCGCAGATATTTCAAGGTGTGTAAGCCAACTAAAGTCGGTATCAACATCAGAAGGGCTCGGATGGTTTGTTTCGGTTCCTTCATATTCACCGCGATCTTCTGTATACCTGCTCTCATCATATACGGCGACATGGCATTCCCGATACAAATATCCGAGGATAAGGTATCGATACTGCCACTCAGTGCTTTGCAAAACCTAACCGTTTTTGAAACAGGTATTGGACAGTTGGGAAGCGATTCTGTAACTCAAAGTACTCGTCTGATAGTTCTAGGTCACTTCTGCCTGCTGAGCACGAGGTACATTGATGGTAATCTACCGAAGGTGTTCTACGCTGCCATGCTCTCCTTGTACGCCACTATGATCTTCTTCGTCGTTTTCTTCTACAGTCGCGTCGCGCGCGCCATGTTTGTTCTGACCCGGAAGCACTCTCGCATGTTTACCTTCTACATGGGCAGGGAAGACTCCGCCCCCAACTCAGCGCTTCCGGAAGAATTGTCCGTCAAGTACAATCGCCAAGGATCAAATGTCATCATACAAGAGGTCAGCACATTCGATGAGGATGGACCTTTCAGACCTGATGGATCTTATTGGAGGCCGGAGTCTAATCTAGAGGTCGATGACCTCGATGCTAAGGTCCATGATGAAAATAAACCTAACGATGACACCGCGAGCAATAACGAACTGAACCGGACTTTCGATGATTTCACCATGAAAAACAAACATCGGTACAGCTCGCACGAGCAACACACAAACATCACGAACAACGAAAACGGGGATGTTCAACCGGGCGGTAAACAAGCCCCAAACGGAGGTCTTATCTCCCCTGTTACACAATCCAATCAGAACAGCGGTCAACACCAGCAGGACAAAGACTCACCATCTCCAACAAAAATCAAACCGAAACCGAAATCCGGAAAAATTCCTAAAATTAAAGTCCAGGACTTAAGTCAACTCCCAGGGCTCATCCACGCGTCATCGACGCGAAGCACGGAGTCGAACGACTCCCCGTATTCCAGCAACAGCCTGCTTCTGCGACGCTTCAAGAGCGCCGAAAGCGTCAACGCTTTAACCCACCTGCACAAGCTCCACGTACCAGACCAGCGCAAGATCGTGCCGGTGTTTCCTGACGCCTACGAAGTCCGTCTTCCCAAGGTCAGTAACCGGAAACAGAGGCGGGACAACAACGCATGCGTGGGACAAGTGACGAAAAGCTGCGTGAACATTGATTACGTCGGGGGTGAAGAGGACGCACTCGATCCTTGTCGGGCTTCCTCGGAGAAAACCTTGACCCTGACGAGAAAAACTTCGCCTCAAGGAAAGAAAAAACTCTGTGTCCTCCCGCTAACAGGACTTTCAACCAAGACAGCCATTCGTACACAAGAGACCAACGAAGTCTCAAACAAAAGTTTGGAGACGGTCGCCAATAAAAACAATTCACAACATTGCGTTGATGGTAAATCTAAGGGAGATAACGACAAATTCAAAAATAACGAACTCGCCTCCCCTGATGAAGAGTCCAACGTCACCCTGCGCGTCAAAACACCGGAAGTCGTCACAACCGCGTTCAACCACGCGTCACTCAACAACATGAAAACACCGGAAAGCGCGCGACAAATCACCACGCCCCGGCAAGAAATCGTCAGCACGGCGGACATCTTGCAAGAACATCACAACCGTGGCTCTCTCCACCCGTTCCGCACCAGCCGAATGTTATTCATTATCTCCCTTGTGTTCGTCATCAGTTTCCTCCCCTTCTTCATTATCGCCCTTGTACGTTCTTCCATTGGGTCGAGCTTTGCATCAACTCTGAGCGACACCGAGTTATGTCTGGTCAGTATCTTCATCCGGTCCTCGCTACTTAGCAACGCCGTTAATCCTATAATCTACGGGCTGCTAAGCTCCCACTTTAGGAAGGAGTGCAGTGGCCTGCTTCGGTGTCTAAGACACGAATAGACGGTCAAATTACAGGACACATCAGCCGTCTAGGATAGTACACATCAGCCGTCTAGGATAGGACACATCAGCCGTCTAGGATAGGACACATCAGCCGTCTAGGATAGGACACATCAGCCGTCTAGGATAGTACACATCGGCCGTCTAGGATAGTACACATCAGCCGTCTAGGATAGGACACATCAGCCGTCTAGGATAGGACACATCAGCCGTCTAGGATAGGACACATCAGCCGTCTAGGATAGTACACATCGGCCGTCTAGGATAGTACACATCAGCCGTCTAGGATAGTACACATCGGCCGTCAAGGACACTCCTAGCTTGTCTAACGAAGAAACAAACTATAACACGAATAGACGGTCAAGTTAAAGGACACGATCGCTGTCTAGAACACACCTAGCGTGTCTAATGATGACACAGTCCTCCTAAAACACACTGTCTAAATATAAACACACACTTTCTACAACAAAAACACACTGGTCAGATTTCAGGATATACTAGCGGACTAGAAACTGTTAGTGTTAGCCAAACAAAACCACTGGATCCGGCTATACACAGGTGCCTCATCCAATACAGTACATCTAATTATAACACACATATGGCTGACAGACAAACACATCAAGGCTAAGACCCCTTGTCTAAATACAAGACCTCGAACCAAACTAAACCTCAGTGTTATCAAATTTCGACCATGAAAAAAGCTCCACCAATATAATAATTAGTAATAAAACAGATAGTATTAGTTACCTCACAAGTTAAAGACAGTTACAAGTACTATGGACGTTTCGACCCAAGGTCTTCGTCAGCACACAACAGTGTGATTACAGATTAGACAAATAAAGACAAACAGTAACACATTTTTTGACTTAGCTCGACAGTGAAAACACTGTCGAGCTAAGTCAAAAAATGTGTTACTGTTTGTCTTTATTTGTCTAATCTGTAATCACACTGTTGTGTGCTGACGAAGACCTTGGGTCGAAACGTCCATAGTACTTGTAACTGTCTTTAACTTGTGAGGTAACTAATACTATCTGTTTTATTACTAATTACATTAACCTCACTGCAGCTACCATTTGTTTTTTTACCAATATAATAATGGTTACAGTGTGTTTATGTTACACAATACGTTAAAGCTCAAGGTTTAGCCTCTAATGCCGGTTATGAGATTTCTCTCCACAGACCTATAACAAGAGTGAAGGGGAGATAGCTCTACATAGGAGTAGGGGGTGGAAGGCAGTGGCGTAGCGAGCGGGGGGGGGGGGGGGGGCGGGGGTGCGGACCGCACCAGGTGACACCATTTAGGGGGGTGACACCAAGGCAAAAAATAGCAAAACATATAGAGAAAAATGATAGTTCCACTTAATTAAGTGATTAATTGGAGAGTTAAAAAGTCTATTAAGAGCAAATTTGACAAATCCCGACAAGGGTGGAAGGGGGGGGGGGGGGGGGGGGGGGGGGGAGTGCAAATCGAAAGTTTGAGGGGGGTGTGCAAATTGAAAATTTGTCCCCGGGAAGGGTCGCTGCGCCTCTGGAGGGGGTGACACCATTAAGTGCCGCACCGGGTGACACCCGACCTCGGTACGCCACTGGTGGGAGGGATGGTCGTCTTCTGCCTGTTGGACCGTGACAGCAGTTCTACATCAGGTCTATGATTGACCCTATCCATCGTAGATTGTATTTTCGAAATAAAAAAAAAAAAAAACCTACTGCTTGGTGGAAGCCATGCCTTCTGTGGCATAAACTAGCAGCACACACACACACACTTGACACACACACACACACACACATATATATATATATATATATATATATATATATATATATATATATATATATATATATATATATATAAACATATACATAAACATATATATATATAAACATAAATATAAATATATATATATATATATAATATATATATATATATATATATATATATATATATATATATATATATATATATATATATATATAGGGGTCATCCATAAATGACGTCACATTTTTTTGACGATTTTTACCTCCCCCCTCCCCTCCGTCATACGTCGTCACAAAATGCCAGACCCCCCCCCCCACTAAATTGACGTTACACCTCAACCTACAACCCCTTCCCCTCAAAATTGCAGTTGAATTTCTTTTAAACATCGATATTTTTCCAAAATCTTGTCTAAACTATTACGATTTATTAAAACAGTTATCTAAAACGCGAAATAACGTCTAAAATTCGTTTTCTAACATTGCTTTTTTTTATAATGCAATAATGTGACGTCGCAACATCTGAACCCCCCCCCCCCCCTCCCCCTCATCATACATCGTCACAAAATTACGGACCCATCTCACCCCTACGAGTCTGACGTCATTTATGGATGACCCCATATATAAACCATCTCACAAAATCTCACAGTATAGCCACTGTTCGCCATTGAGTCAGTTATTCACTTGTGGTTAGTTGTGACTTGGTGTGTAATGCAACTTGACACTGATTATACAAATGTCGCTAGAATCGACCATATCTCAACCGTTTGATGTAAGATAGTTTTGTGGATAGGGTGTGTATCACTGTATGGCTGAAAAATAAACACATAATGGGATGCTACAATCTACAGGAAATGGATTATCTCTCTATTAATTCTGAAATTTGTAACTAAGGGAGACTACTTATAGCTAGAATCTTGAATAGAAAAAAATTGAAAAACCTAGATTTTTACTAAATAAACAAACATAACTAAGATGTGTATTGTAACTAAAATTACCACACATTTTAATAAAAATACAAACAATATATTTTATTGATTATTAACAACTAATATTGTACTATATTTTAAAATAAAACACATTTCACACATCGCATTTGCTTTTTTTTTTAAACATTAGCTGAGTTAAAAAATAATTTATTCCTTCGCATGGGATTATTTTCGGATATAGATCTAAATCTTATCAAATTACACAATCAAACGGCTATTCCTGCCTAAGTTTGGCATGGCAGGACATGTGCCAAAAACTCTAGAGATTTTCATAGAAGAGGGTTTTTCTTTAGCTACTCTCACAGCTGACGAACTAAAAAGAGAGCTATGTATGTTATGTAGCCTATCACCAGCTGAATTTGAAGGTCTGTATAACTATGGGACACTGCGTAAATGGTATGTCACCATTAGATCAAAGGAACTATATGAGAAAATGCACCTAAAAGAATTTCACAGAGATTTGCCACCTGGGGTACATCCAGATACAGAGTGCAAAGAAGATCAATAACCCACGCCGATAAATCTGGGCAAAGGGGCGTGCTGAAATGGCTGTCTTCCAAGACAAGCGACGATGATATAATGGAACTTAACTTAGCCTATAGGCCGTCAGGTTTGAAAAGGGAACTTAACTTACCTCCTTAATTAACACTGAACTGTATACACCAGTGATTTATATATGTATCACCTTACTTTTTTTTTTTTTTTACTAAAATGCAAGCATTTACGATGTACATTACTAAGGGAAAAGACTTGTACAAATTATTTTTTGTGTATTGTTTACTTACACAGGCTATAGTTCATGACCTCCCCCCCCCCCCCACATTTTTTTTACCTCTAAAAAGAAACTCCACATTGCTTTTGATGTCATGACCCCACCTCCTTACCCCTACCCTTTAGGACCTCACCCCCTTTTTGTACCCACTCTATGTCATGCTAATCAACACTGTACTGTATATATATCAGTGTTTTATATAGGTATTACTTTACAAAAATGCAAGCATTTTAATTAAGATGTACATTACTAGATGTACATTTTTTCTCTCCTCTTTCTTCTTGTATATGATTAATATAATTACTTATTTATTAAATGAAATGTAAATTGTTACTGTAAATATGTTTTATTTTGTTTTATGGAAAATAAAAGTATTTAAAAAAAATAATTTACAACAGTTTTTGATTCCAAAAAATAATTAGTAAAGATTAAGTAATATGTTGAAATAAGAATGAATAGATTGATGAAAGCATATTTACTTAGTTCTTACCATACCTTAATTTTATCATGTGTTTCTAATCTGCTGGATTTCCCTTCCCTGTCCCGACTTTAAATCTTTATTTACAGAAATTTGAGAATACTTATCAAAAATAAAAAAGCTGCAAAAATAAACTTAAAAAAAAAAATTCCTGCATAATACCTACACATTGGTAGAAGAGTGAAAGAAATAGCTTTTAATGTAAATCTACTCAAGTCCTTATATGTTGAATAATGAGAGAGTAATGCAACAGCTGAAGACTTTCAGATAAGGATAATATGTGTTATCAATATAAAATGTATTTTTTTTTTAATAGTAGGCTACATTGCAAACCATTGAACATTTAGCTCAAATATTAATAACATAAAATTTAGCATTAATTATAAATCTGTCTAAAAATAAAAACATTATTTTTAGGATACTAACAGCTTGATTGAAAATATTGTTTTCATTTGAACATTGTTAAAATAAGCATATATTTTTAAATTAAATTTTCAAATTAAAATAATTATAGTAATATGGTTTAACCAATCTACAGTGTTTTGTGTTTATGTTATATTCATGAATGTTGTTTTATTTATAACTTATATTAATCAACGAACCAATAATTCTAAAGGTATTTGAAGGATGTTTAATTCAGAGATTATGTTTTATAATAAAAAACTGAGGGCCACTCAATTGACATATGCATACAGTTAGATATTTCTAGGAATTCTTTTAATACTTTAAATGCTTTACATTCTGTGATGTTTTAATAATGTTATTCTTTTAATTAAGAAATGTCATTCATTACAGAACTAACTCTTCAGTAGCATCACTAGGCATCCATTGAATAATACTAATGATCAAATATATTAATATTATAGCATTTATAATGTACCCAAGTTGTATAAGTATATATAATTATATTGCCGCCAAAGTATACAAGTATTTACAGGAAAAAGGGTACTGTGACACACTGTCGACTTAAGGAATTGAGAATGGGTCAGAAACAATAACCCTCACTTATTTACCCAACCAACTTGCTCAGTTAATTAACTTTTGATTTGCCGAAAAATGAATAAAATAAAATAATTTATAACATAGTAATAGAGAATTATTAGTTAATTTAATGACATACCCTGTACAAAAAAATAGAACATAAAAATAAATTTACATTAAAAATTAATTTAAATATGGTGTGCTATCCACCATCAGAGGTCATTGTGGTTCTATTTAAAATGCCATTCAAAATATTTTAACATACTGAGAACCAAAGTCGATATATTTTGAAAACTAATTTAGCCACATTTATGGTTAATATTTGTGACACATTAAAAGGAAATTTGAGGAATGTTAATGTGACAAATATCTGTCAAAAGTCAAAATATGATTATTATATTTAACAAGAATACTATAAGAATCACAAGCTGAGAAATGATATTTAACATCTTTTGAATTGAAAAACATGAAAGACAAAATCCTCCTTGAGCTAGTCCCCCCATAAGTCATGACTGCATTGTAATAAATAATTAGCGGTGCCTCATTTTATTATATTTTAAACTCTATATCAGAAAGTTAAATATGAATTTGCTAAATTCATCAGTTCTTGTTTTTGTATTAGTCAGTCCGATTAAATACGCTAAATATAAACATAACGCCATTTTATGAAATTGCATAATCAACAAGTGCATTTTATTAAAACAATCATAACTGATGACTAGTACCTATATGCTAGTTCCCATCAGACATAAGCTGGGGAGGGCAGTGGTTGACCACTCAGTCCTGCAAGTATATTGTCCACTGTCAAGTTACACATTGCGTTACGAGTTTCGACAGTCGCGCTAGCTATGTGGGGGGTGACTAACAAATTCTTCAGAGTCAACAGTTTATGATTTGTAGGAAGGGGCTCTGGTGTTGTCACATCAATGGCAGCAGCGCCAATCTGGTGGTTCAACAAGGCTTCGTATAATGCATCATGGTCTACTAAAGCACCACGAGTTATGTTAACAAACACTGCATCATTTTTCATTCTCTTAAAGGCATCAGCATCAAACATACCTCTGTTAGACTCATTTAGAGAGCATGTCACAAGAATAAAATCTGAGGTCTCCAGTAATTCATGAAAACTAACAAACTTAGCCTTCACTGCTTTAGCTTCAGGTTTATCACTATTGCCACAGTACAAAATTCTGGCTGGCTCAAAGGCAGCTAGACGTTTAGCTGCAGCCATACCGATCCTGCCCAGACCCACAATGCCTATGACAGAACCAGAGACTTGTTTGCCAGCCAGCCATAGAGCATTTTCCCACTTGGTTCCCCACACTCCATTGTGGACACTCTCAATTCCTGCAAGAAACAAGTTTTTATCGTACATGAAATTATGGTCCAAATTTTTAAATTTAAAGTACAACTAATAATGGTACAAATGTGTAAATAGATGGGATTACAGTCTAAATTTGTAAACTTAAAGCAATTGAAAATTTTACAGATAAAATTAAATAATGAAAAAATTTAAACAGACAGAATTTAAAAAAAGAATGTGTAAATTTTAAAGGCAAATTATCAAAGAAAAAGATTTAACATATGTATGAAACTGAGCTGGAAGTTTGAACATAGTAAATTCTAAAAAGAAATTAAATAATTAAAGGAAACAGATGGAATTAAAAAAAAAATTTAAAATTTAAACCAACATAATTCCTTACACCAATCATCCAAAAATACCAATAATTAATTTTAAACCATTCAAGAAATAAAATTTTTAGTGAGATAAATGTTTAAACAAGAATGTAATGGGTGAAGAGGGTAAAGGTGAGACTATCTTGAGTCTGTGATAAGCGAGACATCCTTGAAACATACAATTGGTTGAAAAAAGTTTCTTTTTTATTTCTTACTACAACATATTTAAAGTGAAATACAGCAATTTCAATAAAATACAATTAGATATCAATTTACTATTAATATAATTTGGTAATGCTATACTATTTAAATAGCTTGTAAACAGAGAAACCCGGTATCAGAGTTAGGAATAGAGTGTATGAGAACCTGGTGAGAGATCAGTTAGCAACAAGACAAATGTGTTGTCAGAAGAGTTAAGTCAAATAAATAAAAAAATGGAACAAACCCTCCTGGAATCTTCTGCCAGCAGCCAACAAAAGCCCAACCGCCATCTCCGCCACAGCCTTGGTTAATGTATCTGGAACACATCCAACTTGAATTCCCCGTTTTCTACACTCCTCAAGGTCAATGTGCTCAAGGCCAGAGGAGAATGTGCCCACAACTTTCAGTGTAGGACCTGGGTAGAGACATAGAAATAGTTTGAGACATGCAGAGTTTATATGATGTATACAACTTTCAGTGTAGGACCTGGGTAGAGACATAGAAATAGTTTGAGACATGTAGAGTTTATATGACGTTTATAACTTCAAGTGTGGGACCTGGTTGAAGTGATAGAAATAGTTTTAGACATGCAGAGTTTATATGATGTATACAACTTTCAGTGTAGGACCTGGGTAGAGACATAGAAATAGTTTGAGACATGCAGAGTTTATATGATGTATACAACTTTCAGTGTAGGACCTGGGTAGAGACATAGAAATAGTTTGAGACATGTAGAGTTTATATGATGTATACAACTTTCAGTGTAGGACCTGGGTAGAGACATAGTTTGAGACATGTAGAGTTTATATGATGTATACAACTTTCAGTGTAGAACCTGGGTAGAGACATAGAAATAGTTTGAGACAGGCAGAGTTTATATGATGTATACAACTTTCAGTGTAGGACCTGGGTAGAGACATAGAAATAGTGTGAGACATGCAGAGTTTATATGATGTATACAACTTTCAGTGTAGGACCTGGTTCAATGGTACAGTAGTTTTAGACATGTAGAGTTTATATGATGTATACAACTTTCAGTGTAGGACCTGGGTAGAGACATAGAAATAGTGTGAGACATGCAGAGTTTATATGATGTATACAACTTTCAGTGTAGGACCTGGGTAGAGACATAGAAATAGTTTGAGACAGGCAGAGTTTATATGATGTATACAACTTTCAGTGTAGGACCTGGGTAGAGACATAGTTTGAGACATGTAGAGTTTATATGATGTATACAACTTTCAGTGTAGGACCTGGGTAGAGACATAGAAATAGTGTGAGACAGGCAGAGTTTATATGATGTATACAACTTTCAGTGTAGGACCTGGGTAGAGACATAGAAATAGTTTGAGACAGGCAGAGTTTATATGATGTATACAACTTTCAGTGTAGGACCTGGGTAGAGACATAGAAATAGTGTGAGACATGTAGAGTTTATATGATGTATACAACTTTCAGTGTAGGACCTGGGTAGAGACATAGAAATAGTTTGAGACAGGCAGAGTTTATATGATGTATACAACTTTCAGTGTAGGACCTGGGTAGAGACATAGAAATAGTGTGAGACATGCAGAGTTTATATGATGTATACAACTTTCAGTGTAGGACCTGGGTAGAGACATAGAAATAGTTTGAGACATGTAGAGTTTATATGATGTATACAACTTTCAGTGTAGGACCTGGGTAGAGACATAGAAATAGTTTGAGACATGTAGAGTTTATATGATGTATACAACTTTCAGTGTAGGACCTGGGTAGAGACATAGAAATAGTTTGAGACAGGCAGAGTTTATATGATGTATACAACTTTCAGTGTAGGACCTGGGTAGAGACATAGAAATAGTTTGAGACATGTAGAGTTTATATGATGTATACAACTTTCAGTGTAGGACCTGGGTAGAGACATAGAAATAGTTTGAGACATGCAGAGTTTATATGATGTATACAACTTTCAGTGTAGGACCTGGGTAGAGACATAGTTTGAGACATGTAGAGTTTATATGATGTATACAACTTTCAGTGTAGGACCTGGGTAGAGTTAAAGAAATAGTTTGAGACATGTAGAGTTTATATGATGTATACAACTTTCAGTGTAGGACCTGGGTAGAGTTAAAGAAATAGTTTGAGACATACAGAGTTTATATGATGTATACAACTTTCAGTGTAGGACCTGGGTAGAGTTAAAGAAATAGTTTGAGACATGTAGAGTTTATATGATGTATACAACTTTCAGTGTAGGACCTGGGTAGAGACATAGAAATAGTGTGAGACATGTAGAGTTTATATGATGTATACAACTTTCAGTGTAGGACCTGGGTAGAGACATAGAAATAGTTTGAGACAGGCAGAGTTTATATGATGTATACAACTTTCAGTGTAGGACCTGGGTAGAGACATAGAAATAGTGTGAGACATGCAGAGTTTATATGATGTATACAACTTTCAGTGTAGGACCTGGTTCAATGGTACAGTAGTTTTAGACATGTAGAGTTTATATGATGTATACAACTTTCAGTGTAGGACCTGGGTAGAGACATAGAAATAGTTTGAGACATGTAGAGTTTATATGATGTATACAACTTTCAGTGTAGGACCTGGGTAGAGACATAGAAATAGTTTGAGACATGTAGAGTTTATATGATGTATACAACTTTCAGTGTAGGACCTGGGTAGAGACATAGAAATAGTGTGAGACATGCAGAGTTTATATGATGTATACAACTTTCAGTGTAGGACCTGGGTAGAGACATAGAAATAGTTTGAGACAGGCAGAGTTTATAATAGTTTATGTGATGTATACAACTTCAAGTGTGGGACATGAATGTATTTAATGGATACAACTTTGGGTCAAACATGTATTGTATAATGGGACGGAGTGGTCTAGTGGTAGAGAGCTGGACTGCTAACCTGTAAGTCTCGAGTTCGAATCCGGGTTCAGGTCAGTAGACAGTCCCTGAGTCCACCCAACTCTGATGGGTACCTAACTCACGCTAGGGAAAGTATTTCGCTTGCCCCATAGACTGTCAGGTTTGAAAAGGGAACTTTATTTACTACTTATTTATATATTGTACAGTTTTTAAAATAGCTTTAGAAATGCAGAATTTAAATGTTGTAAGTATACACAGCCTTCTGATGCTTAATTTACAATAAATGATAATATATTTATAGAAGTAGCCCTTCCAGTGCTACATCTAGAATGGTAAATCCACTTATGTTAAGACCTGTACAAGCTCAGGTGAGATTAGAATCATCTTTAGATCTACATAAATTAAATTGTGATATAAACAAGTTCAAATTTAATATTGATAAAAGACTTTAAAAATCCTTTGTCACTAAAAATATTATTATGACTTAAATTAGTAAGTAAATTAACAGTGTCATTAACACATAACAACTATATCATTGTTAGCTAAACAAACCTAGATCTAAGAAAATGGTGTCTCAAGCTAAACTAAAAGATAACAGGTATAACTAAAAATAGAACTAATATCTGATATGTACTTGCCAGCAATATCAAGAGCTTCCTTATCAATACGGTCCATAGGATTCACAAATAATGCATACGTTCCAGGGATGGAATTTAGGAATTCATCCCGAGTGATGGGTCTTTCTTCAGGAAATATAACAACTTGACAAAACTTCTTTAACCTGTCCAAGCCAGCTTGGGGGTACTTTCTTGGTAGAAAAACTGTGGGTAAATGTGTTGAGTCCATAGTTTTTGCAGCCCTACAGTAAGCAAAACAGAAGTTAGACTACAAAAAATCTAATCATTAGGGTAAGTGAAAACAGGTCTTACAACTAATAATTATTATAATAGTTGGTAAAAAGTTATTAGATGTGCGGTAAGTAAGTACAAAAGAGGATAAAACAATGTTGTTAATATTTCTATTACTTTTTTATTCCATCATTAATCGTTAATATTAACTCAAGTTACAAAGATTTAATTCTAGCCTAGTACAAGTTATAAATCTTAAATACTAGCCTAGTATTATTTTTTCTCACCCATGTACTATGTAAGTTTTTCTATTGTATTTAATATTAGCATCCAGGATTCACTGATTTACATTATCTTATTATTTGTCATGTGTTCCTATTGATGTTTTTATTTTTCAGTATGTTGTGGCTGCTGACGTATGCTTTTATGTGTTCAGAAAAACATCTACATAAATGATACACCAAACCTTTAGGTACATTGGTGTCACCCCTTTCCTGCATGGTGTTATTTTAGTGTTTTATTATTTTTGTGTATCACAGAACCCATGTAATTTAAATGTTTTACGTTTTCCTAATAATGTAATACCAATATGGATATGCAAACTAATGGAGCAGTATGTTGCAAAAAACAAGTTGAGGTTCTCAAAGTCTCTTATAAATACTTTGTTGTTATTATTTCTCTAGTATCAATATGTATGTTTCTACTCTAGCTATCATCTCCAATGTGATGTTAAACAACATGCAAGTTAGGGAAATCCCTTGATGTAGCCCACTTCTGTTGAAAACTCTTGGACCTTTATTTTACTCTTTGTGTTTGTTTAAGTTACAAGTATTAATATTCTGATCTTGTTTTGTATTCAAAAGAAGAGTTTCATAGATATATTTTCTCCGATGCTGTCATTTTGTTTCCCACATAGAATTGGTGTAGTGGGATGTTAATAAACATTGCACTTTTCCATTATTTTTGTATGTTTTGGTATTATTAAGCTGCTTCCCAACCCTAGATTTCATACAGTAATAAAGAACACCTTAGGGAGAAAAGTGGTCACTCTTTTGAATGTAAAAATAAATATTCTAAAACTTAACAATTTAACAGTTTTTTTTTAAAATTTCATGTTTTAAACCTTTCATAAACTTTTTGTAATATAAATTAAACAACACACCCAATCATGACCAAGGTCAATTACAATCTAATACTGCAGAGAGAAATTATTGTTTTGAAACAAAATTATAGTAGTAATGTAAGTGGGGAAGTGATAGGGAGTTTCTGACTTTGACAATATGTGACAATGGAGACAGTGAGAGATAACTGATACAAGAGGATGCCTTTAACAAGATGATGCCTTACATAATGATTTGAACTAAAGGACAGAGACAGAACATGCAGTGGATTGTATTCCGAAGGTGACTGGAACTATTCTACTGGCTAAGTAATTATGCTAGTGTTGATCATAACAAATAAAAAGAAATAATTAGTCAAATATTTTTATCAAACGTAGGCCTACTTACAATTTTTTAGATGTGGTTCTATTTGATATAGGATTTAATGAACAAGGGAATAATATTTTCTTAAAGCAAACTCAGAAAAGTGTAAGACCTAGAATGGCTTCACTTTTCAGTAGTCTAGTAGGTTTGTAACTAAAGTAGGCCTAGTATTTCACTGGGTTATTATAGCTAAAGAAGTTTAGATTCTAGAACAGTAGTGTAGTAGGCCTAGTGTATACTGTGTATACTGTGGCAAACATTGCACTAACTGCTTGGTCTAGTAACCTAATTAATTAATTATAATCTACACAGATGGAAGAAATAAATTCAATTTAATAAGACTAGATCTGTCTGTAGCCTATAAAGGACTTTAGCAGGCCTATTTATTTAAGGTAAATTTAGGACTAGAGTACGCTACCAGTAATAAAAATAAATATATAAAAAACATTGATGATAAGGCGCTTTTAAAAGTACTGAAAATATTAAAATAAAACAATTTTTTATTTTTAAAAGAAGCATTGGTCACTCATGACACAAACTCATTCATTTTAAGAACGTTTGTTTTATTCTCATTTATAAATGTTTTGTTTTCTTTTTTTTTTGTAAAAAAAAAAAAAGGGGGGGGGGGCTAACTATAAATTTTAAAAATTGAAATACAAAGTCAATATTAAAAATTATTTAGGTTTATAAAAAACAAGTCAATGGCCTAAATTTTTGCATTCTGTTATTTTTTTAAAATCAAGTCCATAGATATGTAAAAAAAAATTTGCTTTATAATCTGATAAGAAGCCCGCAATCTCTAAAAAAAACAATTATCTGCCAGTTTGTACCTCCATCTGGTACAACACCAACCATCAGTGAACAATAGTTCACAATTGTCAACTGCTACATGTTATCTCCCTTTTTGTTATAAAATTCAGTAATTTTTAAATTAATTTTAATTGTCTATCTAATTAGTAATTAGACAAGATCAATTAAAAAAATGAAATATTTTTTGCATTGTCATCAATATCTAGAAACAAGAAAGTTCAAAATCACTGTATTAAAAGTGGAGCAAATTTTAGTTAGCCACAGACATTGTGATTGTGTAGTGTCAGTGTAGGCATACTAAATATTTAGTAAATAAAGAGCTTATAATCAAATAGGCGTTATAATAATAGACTAATACGAGTAGCCTTCTAACTAATATCCCCAGTAACAAACTGTAGACTTAGTAGTAGGCTATTATATAACACAGATTGTCATAGACTTGATTTTTATAGAGTATGTAAAATGTATTGTATACTAAATCTACCAGATAGAGTGCTATAGACTATATAGTATAGAATCTAGCTAGTCATAGGATATATACTAGCTAATTATAATTATTTATACTAGATCTAGGCCACTATTAAAAATGCATATTAGACTATAAATAATAAATATACTTAGACCTAGATCTAGATCTTATGTATTATATATGTTACGGTCAAAGCCCGAAGTCGGTCAAAGTCCGAAACTTTACTTCATTTCGTCCTTTGGGCAGCCAATCCATGGACTGACCAAAGTCTGAAATGTCTATTGATTTCGGCCTTTGGCCGGCCCAGTCCACAGTCCGCGGACTGGCCATGGTGGACCGGCCAGTCCGAATTAGAAGATCATCTTGCTAGGGACAACCGGTCAAAGTCCAAATTAGAAGACCATGAGCAGATTTAGGTTTTTTTAATACCGTAAGGATCATAAAAATTAAGTCTTTGTTGATTATTATTTAGAATTACATTGTTATTTTACACTTGCAGCGATTTGTTGTGCACTAGATTGTGCAATTGCAGTAAATGTAGCCTTGGCCGCCGGTCAGTGATTGTGAAGATGCGATGGTTTGTAGTGATTTTCCTCAGTGCCAATGAGAGTAGTTTTTTCGCAAAGAATTGAAAACTCACTTCTAGCATATAGTTGTTTCAATACACCATGTTCCGTTCCTAGCTTGTAGAAAGCGCCCTTGACGCACATGATGACTACAATGACACTTCGGAGATCACTGCAACCTCTGTCAACATCTGGTATACGGATGTGAACATTATCTCCCACTTCAGCTTGCTTAAATTTTGTTAGCATCTGAGCACCTTGAGTTTACAAGCTAGTATGAGCTGCTGACCTGTTGTCCATGGTTTATTGTGACATATTCTGCGAGTACTGTTGCCTACATGCCCTTTGTCTGCTTCATTGGCTATTCCGCATATTGCATGGACATTGTTGCCACGGCAACAGATGTGTTAGCTGAGGATGTCGTTGCATTTATGGCAACCTCCATTTCTTGTTCAATGTTCTAAAGATCTTCCTCGGTAGCTAAATTATTGAGAATCTCTCTTGGTATATTTGAAGTGCTAAGTCCCACTTTTGCTTTGCATCCAAACAAGGTTTTGTATGGCGATTGCTGGATTCCTTGATTCATAAATTGAATGAATTTAAAGGGTTCGGCTTTGTTGAGTCGGTAAAGCTCATGGTTGCTAAACCGACAAGTCTCGAGTTTGAACCCTCGGGCAGATGAGGCTCGTTAGCTGGGGACAGCCACTCTTCTAGGAGAGACAACTCCAAAATTAAAACAACTGCTGCCTTGTAGTTTGTTCTTGGTTGGACAAAGGCTATGGAAGCAAATCCAAAAAGAAAAGCAGGCTGAAATCTGAGTCAATGGCCTCAATGGCGCATAACCAGTTGACACGTAACGCTTAATTGTGTTGGAGGCGTGGTCGAGTCGGCAAAAAGCTCATGGTTGATAAATTCGAACAAAGTCTCGAGTTCAAACCCACTGGCAGATAAATCTCGATCCCCTTCAACACTAATAATTAAGAACGAAGAAGAAGAATGAATTTAAGACTCAGCCCAATAAGCTGATTCATTTGTCTGCATCTTTGAATTCTTTGTCATAATCATGTTTTGAACATCTACTGTCATTGGCTTTGGCTATGCCTTGGTTTTATGTGAACATGTTCATGCCACATGTTATTTAGTTCAGAAATAACTTGATTCACAAATTCTTTTCCATTAGGATTTGGATTATTTATTTAGGCAGCCATCTGGTTTGTCTGTCTCTTGGTCTGATGGTTCTTTTGGTCCATATTGCATTGCATATAGAATGCTATACAAACAAAAGCCAAAAAATACGCTACTCACAAAGAAACCGCACCCAGAATAATGAAAACGCGATCACAACTTAGTCTAAATAGAACATTGGCCAGGACATCCCGGCCAGTGCGCGCATTGGCCGGCCAATGTACAAAATACGCTGTCAAGTTTAAGCGCTTCGGTCTTTGGCCAGTACATCCCAGCCAGTGCGCGCATTGGCCAGCCAATGGACGAGATATGCTATTAGTGCTAAGTTCTTCGGGCTTTGGCCAAGAGAGCCAACCAATGCACACATTGGCTAGCCAATGTGGGCTTTGGCCGCACTTCAGGCTTTGACCGTAACATATATACTACTAGAAACTAGATCTAATAGGGCCTATATATTACTTATATTACTATGACCTAACCTAATAATTAATTAATAAATAGGCCTCGGCCTATTCATATATTATTAATTATTATAAACTTTTACTAGATCTAAACTAGAGTTTACTAGATTCTAGATCTATTATCTATTAAAGACTATATAATATCTAAGAAGTAAGACTTTTATTTATAAACTTTATTATTATTAGGCCTAACAATTATTAATTAGTAATAATTAGTCTAATATCATGGGTGGTCTCCTTGTTATAATATTATTAATATTAGGCCTACACATATTTAAAAACTAAAAGATTGGAATCTAGATTTTTTATCTAAACTTATACAAAAAAAAAATGTATTCAAAAAAATTTATTCAAACAACGGTTACAATTGTAGGCACAAAGGCCTTTTTTCACATTGGCCGTTTAAACAAATAAAGCAATTCAATAACACATAGCAGTAACACATAGCACTGAAAACGTGGAATAAAGAAACAATGGTACATAGCTATCATACATAATGAGATAAAAAAGAGAATATAATAGATGAATGAGAAATGTTACAATGAGTCAGTTAGGTCATTAAATAATTTTAGTTTTAGTTTAGATTTGAATATATTTTCAGATCTAGATAGCTTTATTTTATTAGGAAGATTGTTCCACAAATTAGAACCAGAGTAGGCGAAGCTATGTTTTTGGAAAAAGGTTGAATAAGGGAATGGTAAATTAAGACGACGATTTAATTTTATGTTAAAAGAAAATAGATCTGATAAGTAAGAGGGGGCTGTTTCGTGGAATATTTTATATAAGAAAATTGATTTAGTATATATTATCTTTTTATTTAATGGAAGTATTTTAGTAGTAAGAAAAGAATCCAGACTACTAGACAAGCCAGTAATACAGGATTAGATAAGGCAGTGTAAAAGATAGATCTAGAATTTTAGAATCTAGTTCTAGAAATGTATACAGTATACATTGTTATGATTGTAAGCCTATATGTAATTATATAATATATATAGATCTACTATAGTAAGAGTAGCATATAGGCCTATAGAGTGCGGTTATAGAGTATAGTTAGTATATATAGGCCTACTCAGGGGCGTAGCGAGGGGGGGGGGGGGCGGGGGGTGCGGACCGCACCGGGTGACACCATTTAGGGGGGTGACACCAAGGCAAAAAATAGCAAAATATATAGAGAAAAACTCGAGGGGGGGGGTGCAAATCGAAAGTTTGAGGAGTGGGGGGTTTGCAAATCGAAAATTTGAAAGTTTGTCCCTGGGAAGGGTCTCTATGCCTCTGGGGGGGGGGGGGGGGGGTGACACCATTAAGTGCCGCACCGGGTGACACCCGACCTCGCTACGCCACTGGGCCTACTAGATCTAGTATTCTAATTGATTATGATCTAGAAATTTAGATCTAAGATTCTAGAATTAGAATCCGAGCCTAGGTCTAGGATGTGTACTGTCACAGTACTGTGTCTAGCACTCAGCAGAGATAGATATCTAGAAGTCTAGTGGTGAGATAGCGTAGGCATACTCATAATATTATTAGGCCTTAGGCCGGCTTAGTCCTTACTGACCCTTGCCTTAGGCCTACTTACTACTTAACTTACTAGATCTAGATTCTAGACTAGAGTCTGATATAGATTTTCATTATAGACTATAGTTTATTATTTATAGACTAGATCTAGTCAATTCTAGTCTAGATCTACTAGTCCCGTGTAGGCCTAATAAAAATATTTTAAGCTCCAGTTTTTTTGTATTGTGCCTCTATTCTCTAGATCTAGATCTAAGTGTAAAACTGCACAAAAGATAAAAATTAGGCCTAGAGATCTAGAAAATAGATCTAGATTCTAGATCTATGCTTGATTACTCGGTCCAATCTTCACTTTGTTCAATATCGTATTTTATGAATAATTCAACTGCAATTTTTAGGGGGGGGGGGTTGTAGGCTGAGGCGTGACGACATTTTAGGGGGTAGGTCTGGTTTTTGTGACGATGTGTGACGGGGGAGAGGTACAAACCGTCAAAAATTATGATGACCCCCAAGATTGTATACAATAGAATTGTTAAGATTTAGTTATACAAAAATTCTTTTAAGATGCAGAATAAATCTTTTCTGTTGTGATTTTTTCCTTGTAATTCTAAATTATATATTGAGATCTTGCTTTAAATACCCGATATCATCACTGTATGTCGTTAGGTCTATAATATAATTATGACCTATGGTATGAACTTCTATGACCGAGCGAATGTTGAGCGCGCATGTAAAAATGTGTTGTTTTTTCTTCTGTTAAACGTAATTTGATTTCATAGGTCTATCCGTCCAAATATATACATACACACACACACACACACACATATATATATATATATACACATATATATAATTGTATAAGATAGCTCATATAGGCTGCAGACTACAGCTTTTGGCCAGTTTTCTTGAACACGAATATCTCGCATGCGTTGCAGTACGCTTTAATAGAAGCAATACGTAACATTTGAACTCACAATGACCCCAAATCCGTTTTTCCCTCTTGCTGGGTTGAGAGGGGAGGGGGGGGGGGGGGACTACGGCGACGACGAATCTCGACAAGCTCATAGCCATGGTCTTGCTATGACGTATGCTATACGCCTACACTGTTCACATCTTAACCAATCTGAACTCACAGTGACCATGGCTAGACCGTGTCGGTATTTTTCTTGCGCTGACCAGAAAACGCGAGCGGGCGATCAATGGAGCAACGATGTTTTTATAGGGCCTAATTGGTGTGTTTAAAAACCTAAATCTAGAAAAAAAAATAATCTATTTAAAAAAAAAAACAATTACAAAAAGACACTCTTGCAAACAACTCAATGGAATGTTAGACTTGGATAAATACACTTTATTTCACGCAAAAACGAGAGCTTTGATAGGTTCCGATCCCGTACTGATCGAGATGCGGGAGGTACCGCGTTCTCCACTCGACCACGACGTCTTCCGATAATTGCTGTATATTTAATGATTTTGTATATACAGCTAAATATAGGGTATTTAGTAATAGCAACACAAGAACTAACGCTAGATAATCCGCATAATTACACTAAAAGACAACAAAATACGAGCAAATCCACAAGAAAAATCAAATAAACATAAAAGGTATAAATTTAATACAGGTTGTACAAGTGCTTAACGAACTTAATGCCGGGTCCCAATAGCGGCCGAGGCTATTAGGACCCGGGTCCCAATAGCGGCCGAGGCTATTAGGACCCGGGTCCCAATAGCCACTTCCTTAAATTACGGCATTTCCCCCCCCCCCCCCCCCTACGAGTGTAACGTCATTTACGGACCACCCCTTGATGTGATCTTTTTCCAGACATGTATAGATCTAGATCTAGACCTAGATCTAGATCTAATCAAGATCTAGATCTAGATCTAGAATAGATTTAGAATCTAGATTCTAGATCTTGATCTTTTTACCTCAAAGCCAAAGCTTCCTTGTATACTGCTGCATTACGTCCTCTAGGCTTAGCACCTCGTTTTTTAGCTCCAAATTTATATCCTCTTCTTGGCATGTCGATAAGCTAGAATAATTACTAGATTCTAGATCTAGATCTAGAAAAGATATATAGATCTAGATCTACGCTGTTGATCGGCCACGAGGCTTTATTCAAAGTTTCAAACTGAGCTATGTTGACAAAAGCGTCTATATTTAGACATCCGGAATGGGAAAACCCCACATGCGCACAAATGTTATTACTTAGAAACCGCTTGAGGAAACAAATACAACCAATGGAATTACTCTCTTTTTAGAATCTTTTATTGATGAAAAAAAATTAATAATTAAAATGTGTCTGTTCGAATATGACGTTTTTTTTATAGAATCTAGGTCTTTTTATAGACGAACAAATCTATATATAAAAACACTAGTTTTAATGCCCGCAAAATCCCCCAAAATTAAGTGTTTTTAACGGACACAAATTTTGAACATTTATAATAAATTATTTTGAAGATATGCACTTAAAAGTTTTAGCTGTGTACCCCAAAATATGGTAGAAGATTATGAATTCATAAAAACCTACGAAGGGGTTATAATATAATTTTTCCAGATGGCCGTCATAGTCGTAGTTTCCATGATTTTTCGACCATTTTTTATGGTAACGCATATAGATCTATAGATGCACCTTAAAAGATGTAAAAAATAAATGTTTTCTAAAGAGTAGGCCTATTAAAAAAGATTTTTTTGCCGGCGCGTATGCCCTTAAACAAAAATAAATATATATAGGCCTATATATATTTCATTTTCTCCAGAAGAATATAGGGCTACATTAATGAGCAAATTAATTTGCATATTACATAGTCAAACATCCTATTAAGAATATCCTTCCATAAATGAGCTTCGTTTTTTCTTCACCCAGAATAGAGTTCTGTGTAATACATAGTTATAGCACACAGCTGCCATATCTGGGCGCCCGGGGACAAACTTTTCGATTTGCACCCCCCTCTCAAAGTTTCGATTTGCAACCACCCCCTCAGACTTTCGATTTGCACCCCCCTCAACCTTTCAATTTATTTTTCCAACCCATTTTGGCGCCCCTAAGGTCGGCGCCCGGGGACATATGTACCCCCCCCCCGCGCTACGCTACTGGCCATATCTTTTAAAGTGTGTACTGAAGTTACAGATATTTGTTTATTGGTAATTCATTGGTAGTTTTTTTTTGTGTTTGAAATAATGTGCTATCCAAAGCATTTTATTTGCACATGCGATTTTTGTAAATTAATGAAATCGTTCTTCGATGTCATACTCTTTATTTTTCATAAACCGTCATAATATTGATAGTTATTACATTTTAAAATGTAAAAATTAAATATGTTGATCGCTGCATCAATGGGGTAATTCTTGCAATCTAATGTTTATAGCTGTTAAAAAAGAAGCGCTCTTCCCTTGAATGTCCGCACTGAATGCTTTAGACAGCAGTGTAAACCAGAATGGGCTGGCGACGTTAAAGAAGAATGTAGATCTCAGCATGATTTCCCCCGGGCCAAGCTCCAGAGTGCTGACCGTCTTGTAGAAGTGACATCCGCGCACAACCAAATAAACTCGATACCCGATGAGCGGAACGTAACTTACAAAATAGCTGATTAAAATGGCAATGATACAAAATTTAGTGCGGGATACATATTTACTGAAGCTGGTAGGCAGAGAGGTATTATTCTCATCGGGTTCTGTATCGATTCCCTGGGAAATGTTGACACGTTTCTCCTTCGAATAGTCCTCAGATATGTCTGTTAAATTCGCGGATGTATGCTGTGCTTTATGGAACTTCACTACACTTCCCGTCTGTTCCAATTCGTTATTTGTATCTGCGTCCACTTCACTCGATGCATTTTTCTTGCAATATTCGGTTAAGCCGCGATCGACGTCTGTTTCCCGGAGGATGCTTCCCGATTCGTCGCTGAGCTCGATGCTTACACTTTCAGTCATTAGGACCCGCTTGGCAAACACCCCTGACAAGCTTGTGAGGTTACTTGATCTGGCTGACACAATGTTGGAACTTACGGCGAAGATTGGGGTTTGTAAGCCGTCCATCCGGCTGCACAGGAACACATTGTTTTTCATGGCGTGGAGAGTTTTGATGACCCGGGCGTAGAGAAAGGTAACCATGAAAAACGCCAGGGCGTTGCACGAAAAAGTTGCGATGAAAAACGCGTTGACGAAGACGGTGTCGAAGAAGTGCTCGGTCTTGATGGCGCAGAGCTTGGCGTAGAAGTGGTACTCGTGGGTTCTGTTGAGCGTTCGGTTGAGCGAGCCGGCGGGGGAGATTTCGAGAAGGTACTGGTTCTCTCCTGATGTTTTGGTGGCGTGGACGCTGAGGCTTTGCTCCCCGTACAGGAAGAGGACGGGGATGTTGACCACACAGCTGACCACCAGGGACTGGACGCAGACCTTCGTGGCCTGCTCAACGCTGATCCCTTGCTCAGTGGATCGGCAGATCTTGTTGTACCTGAGGGGAGGAATCAGATACAAGTTGACGTATACCACGCAGCAAGGGCGTAGCGAGGGGGGGGGGGGGGGCGGGGGGTGCGGACCGCACCGGGTGACACCATTTAGTTGAGGGGGGGTGCAAATCGCAAGTTTGAGGGGGTGCAAATAGAAAACTTGAGGGGGGGTGCAAATGGAAAGTTTGAAGGGGGGGGGGGGTGCAAATCGAAAACTTGAAAGTTTAACCGCGGGAAGGGTCGCTACGCCTCTGGGGGGGGGGGGGGGGTGACACCATTAAGTGCCGCACCGGGTGACACCCGACCTCGCTACGCCACTGCCACGCAGGCACGTTTAGGAGTACTGGTGATACAAAAGACCATTTTTTTCTTTCAGACAGTTTTCTCAGTAGAAAAAAATTTGAGGGGTGGGGTGGGCGCACACAAATTTCCGAGGGGGGGTGGTGCAAAAACAGATTAAAGTATATATTTTATATTTAAATTATAGGCTTTAACACAATATAAAATGTAGGCAAATGGGACAACTATAAAAAGGAAAACGGGACAGTATCAAAGGTAGGCAAACAGGACAATATATAAAGTAGGCAAATAGGACAACTACAAAAAGTAGGAAAACAGGACAGTTTGTAGGCAAACAGAGCAATTAAAAAAAATTAAGCACATATTAGACATCAATAAACAGTACAACATGACTCATATAAATACAACAAACAAGAAATCTTTCTAAAAGAACATCAAGCAAGAATATAAATACAACAAACAAGAAATCTTTCTAAAAGAACATCAAGCAAGAAACACGCATACATGATAAATCACGATTACCTTTCCACTGCGATGCCAACAAACACCAAGGTCTGATAGGTGTTTAGCACAGTCTGTGTGTATTTGGAGGCCTGACACAGGTAGGACGAGGGGAAGTTGAGGAACTTGACCAGCATGACGATCTCCAGAGGGATGACCAGCACACAGGTGAGAAAGTCCTGGCACGCGAGGACAAACACACACATGCGCGTCACGCTAACTCGGACATGTTGCGCATGCGTGACCAGCGCCACGATATTCCCAATACACCCGGTGATTAAACAGACGGCAAGGTAGGTGACGGCAGGGAGAAGAGCGCGCTTGAAGAAAAAGAAGTCGACCCCATGGTAGGGTTGGTAGTGTAAAAACTCGTGGAAGAGAGCTGAGATGCTGATGTTTACTGGGATTGAAACGTTGCTGTGGGCGGTGAAGTTTGGGTGGTAGTTACGTTGCTGCATTGGCGTTTGGCGAGGAGGTACGACAATTTGCTGAAGCGTTTTGTGGTGTCTATTAGGTACAAGTGTTCATCTGTCGTTCTGGAGATAGGCCTACACTGGTCTTGACGTAGTATCTGGTGGAGATGGGGGAAGCTTTGGGTGCTGTGTGCAGCAACTGGTGATGGATATATCTGGGATAAAAGAAATGTCAGGGTCATTGAAATATTGGATTAATCATTCAGTCTCGTTAACTTACCCAAAAGCCAGTCTTGTAAGTAACATAACCTTAACTTGAGCAGTCTAGTAACATAACCTCAACTTGAGCAGTCTGGTAACATAACCTCAACTTTAGCAGTTTAGTAAGTAACATAACCTCAGAGGCGACCCTTCCCGGCGCCCGGGGACAAACTTTTCGATTTGCACCCCCCCCCTCAAGATTTTGATTTGCACCTCCCCCCCTCAAACTTTCAATTTGCACCCCCCCTCAACCTTTCAATTTATTTTTCCAACCCATTTTGGCGCCCCCTAAGGTCGGCGCCCGGGGACATATGTCCCCCCCCCCCCTCGCTACGCTACTGTATAACCTAAACCTTAGCAGTCTAATAAGTAGCAGCCTCAACTTTAGCAGTCTAGTAACATAACCTCAACTTTAGCAGTCTAGTAACATAACCTCAACTTTAGCAGTCTAGGAAGCAGGGGCGGAACTACAGTGCCGCCAGACCCCGCAATGCGGGGGGGGGGGGGGGCACGCCATTTAGGGGCCCACAGCCGACCATAATAAGTCTAGTAAGTAAAATAACCTAAAATTTAGCAGTCTAGTAACATAACCTCAACTTAAGAAGTCTAGTAACATAACCTCAACTTTAGCAGTCTAGTAACATAACCTAAATGTTAACAGTCTAGTAACATAACCTCAACTTTAGCATTCTAGTAAGTAACGTAACGCCAACTATTTCAGTCTACCCAGTAACTTAATTCATACTGTAAAAGTTGAATGTAAAAACAGAATTTAATTTAAAAAATTGTAATATAAAATCTAAGACCCGGACGGAACGTGTGGTAAACGAAGTTGAACTTATTTCTTTCCTTGACTTCCGCATTTACCACCTTCTCCTGGGTCAGAGCTGGGTGGACTCCTGACGTTCATTTAACCAGAGCCGGGGAACCGAACATGAGACTGAACATTTCAAGTGCTCTACCACATCACCACTTGAATTTCGTAAAAGCGTATTTTAAATAATTTTAAAAATTTTATGTAATAAACCAGAGTCGTATAACATTAGGTTCATTAAATTTTTTAGAATTTTTCCATAGTAATATAATAAACGAAACCGCGATAATATGTTTTGTTTGAATCTCTTTAGTACTAGATTCTAAATCCTTACATGTACATCTAGATCTATTAACTATTGATATTTTAGGGTTAAACTAAAAACAATAACTTGATCTATACAACATAAACATCGAATACCTATCAACAACCTCAACTGGGCCGCATTGAGGTTATGTTTAGCTGGTGTCACAACTTACTCTGGCCTGTGGTCAGTTGTTATTATAGCTTCAAGCTTGGCGATGGTGATCAACAAGACATGAAATATTTCATCTTACTTTTAGAGAAACACGAAATGTGTTACTGTATGTACAGGAAGTAGATAATGAGCCATGTTGTGTGATATTGTGTGCACCGGTGTCGCAGTAAATGTGTAAACTTGAGGTGCGAAGTTTGTTTATTTAGTGCGTGTTTCTATTGACTGCACAAGACGCAAGCTTGCAGCGTGTGATTTGTGTTCCCAAGTTCTTAAATTAATACTAATGTTATCCCCCTTAAAAGTAAAAATTCCTCTTTAGACAAAGCAATCCATTGGGCAGATGCAGTAGAGTTCATATGTTTCTTGACTTCGGCACATTAACGGATAATGTAGTCAACCGGTTTTACTTTCCCTAACATGAGTTAGGTACCCTTCAGAGCTGGGTGAATTCTGGGACGATTTACTGACTTGAACCCGGAATCGAGCTCGAGACTTTGGGTTAGCAGTCTAGGGATCTACAGCCCGGCCACACCTTCCCATGTCCCCCCCCCCCTCCCTCACCCCTACAGATTCGTTAGTTTTGAGATTTTGTTTAATCGAACCATGATCTAGTATTCTAAAACTGTCTGATTTTAATTATATAGATGGCGCTGAGACAGGTACATGCAACTTTAGTCCAGTTTTTTGTATTGTATTTGAGCAATCTCAATTTTTTTTTAAATTAAATAACTGGATCGTAAATTTGGAAGAACTAAGGAACTGTAGTAACTGTCGGCTTATATGGTGGTCAGTAGCTGTAAGTAATGAAATAGAACCTTTTTATCATTACTCAGCCAAGTATTGTTTGATTACTTGCTTGCCAGCCTTAACGTTGGTACCACCTAAGATAAATTCCTGATCATGTCGCCAAAAGTCCTGGATTGTAACAGCAAGGGTTGAGAAAATAGTACTGTAAAAATAAAAAAAATAAAGCTGACCCTGACGTGATTTGAACACATAACCTTCTGATCTGGAGTCAGACGCGCTACCGTTGCGCCACAGAGCCACTTACTATTGCTGGTTTGTATATATTTATATAAGCCAATACCCTTTAAATGCTATAAACACGACACAGCTATACATTTCCTTATTTATTTATAGATATCTCTACTAACCCACTGGAAAAGATCTAGTCAGGTAGGCATTGAAATTTTCTAGGAAAATCCCCCCATTCACAGGGAGACAACTCATAGTGATTAGCTAACAATATCTGTCAGTCTTACTTGCTTGCTGCTATTTTGAGATCAGTAATCAGGGAAATACTCTGATGGGTACCTAACTCACGTTAGGCGGCTGGGCATAGTGTTGACCACACTATCTCTTCACATGCCGAGGTCATGGAAACAAGTGAACTTTACTTCACTTGGCCCCATAGACCGTCAGGTTTGAAAGGAAAACTTTACTTTTACTATAATCTGGGAAATCGCATCAGCATTAGAAGAGGCTGCTTAATATTTTTTTAAACAAAGTCCGCATTGAAATTAAAGTAGTATTTGACCATTCATAAATAAAAGAATAATGAATGCCTGGTCTTCAGATATTTTTAGCAACAATAAAAAGTTTTATAGTTAGTTTTAAATATTTTTTGTTGGGAGGTCAATATTTTATTTTGGTTCTGTTTATTTGAAAGGGTCTCATTAGTGTTGTTATGTGTTCAGAATATTTTGTGCTTTACACTAATTAAACAGTTGCGATAAGATTACCTTAATCTCGGCCACTATATGTAGACATAAAGGTAAATGTCAATTTAAAATTTTGCTACTAACAAAAAACACATCGATTTTTATGCGTTTTAATTCTGATGTCATTTTATGCCAAAAATAAAGATGTCATGCACATATATAAGTGGTCTCTATGGTAGTCACTAATAAGGTCAATTGCACAGTTTAAGATTGATCCATCTATTCGAGGATCTCCGGGCATAAAGTCTTAACATAAACTTAATAAAATACCATGGCATATCTTTAACTTTATATTGTAAAATTCGATTCTGACACGAACACAGTACAGCTATGTGTTTGTTATTCAGCTAAGCAGGTTTCATTAACATCGTCTTTTCACTTTCGTGCTTAAGACACATGGGGGGGGGGGGGTAGATTAAGCAGCACTATACCCAGCTGCCTTTCGTACTAAATGAATAGTAAATTTGGTAGAACAACGGAAGTGTAGTAGTTGTCGGCTTATATGGTGATCTGTTAGCATAAGTACCCTTTTTGACAATGCTTAACCAAAACACTGGTACCACCTAGTATAAATTCCCGATCATGTCGCCGTAAGTCCTGGATTATTTTGAACAAATAGTGATGCAGATATACAAAAACTTAGCTGACCCTGACGTGATTTGAACACATAACCTTCTGATCTGGAGTCAGACGCGCTACCATTGCGCCACAGAGCCACTTACGGTAACTTGTTTGTATGTATTTATATAAGGCGAAATCCTTTAAATGCTTTAAACACGACACAGCTAATCGTATCTCTATTTCCTTATTTATTTTTAGATTTTTCTACTGACATAGTTTTACCCAGGTAATGGTTGAAATTTCCAGGAAAATTCCCACTTCACAGGGAGGCAACTCATATAGATTAAACAAATGGATTTACTCTTACTTACTTGCTGCTATTTTGTTATCAGTAATCAAATAAATCGCACCCGCATAACGAAGAGTTGTATAACTAAAAAACCAAACAAAACAAGAACATCGATGAAATTAAAGCAATATTTGCCCATTTATTAATAAAGTGTTCTGATCAATCTCATAAGCCATAACATTTAAGCACCAATAATACGTATTATAGTTTGATTCCCGATTTAATGTTGTTCCACCATCATCATACATCATTGAATCACAATATTTAAAACACCAATGTCCGCTTTCTATTGTTTATATTCGTTATGTTCTTATGAAAGGCTTTATATTAGTGAAGTGTATTCAGTATATTTTTATGTTTTACATCATTCGTAATAGTTCCGATAATATTACAAACATTACGCCCCAAAATGTAGACACACTGTATAATTCTAGTTTAAAATTTTAGCGACTAATAAAAATATATACATTTTTACAAGCTTTTATTTAACTCACTTCCTCTGTCGTCAGTCTAGACGGAAACGCAGGAGTGAAAATTCGGACAGTTCTACTTGACCGATACGATTCAAAGTTGGCACGTGGGTCAAGACATGAAGACAATGCAATCTGAAACTAAATTTGACTTAATTGGATGCCTAATTAATTTTTTATGAATTAATAAAAATTTGGACCGAATTAGTAGGCATGTCTAGCCAACCACACCACACGCGTCATCATCTTCAATAGCTGCGCCATCACGTAATGGCTGCGTTCAAAAACCATTGCGCGCCTACTGAACGTGATGTTCAGTAGGCGCGCAATGGTTTTTAGTCATGTAACTATTGTAACTCTATTGTAAATAAAACATGTAAAGTACTGAAAAAAAAATTCATAAAAAACGTTTTAATAACAAGCTTTTATGTAATGATGCACTAAAAAGTAGAAAATAAATTATAGACTACTATTTAAATAACTATAAAGAAAAGCGTGGGTGTCTTCCTTAACATTAGTAAAGGTATCCAATACTGCAATAGGTACTAAAGTACTAAAGTGACCCACGCTTTTCTTTATAGTTATTTAAATAGTAGTCTATAATTTATTTTCTACTTTTTAGTGCATCATTACATAAAAGCTTGTTATTAAAACGTTTTTTATGAATTTTTTTTAGCGCAATTTCCTTACAGGAAGTGCGATTATTAACTCGTCATTTCTGGATGGATGTGTGTCCGCAGCTTTAAGTCGTATCTCCTCCTCAACGAAGCAATATCGAGGACTAGCTCCAAAAGCAAATATGTCAAGCAAGTTCCGAGGATGATTGTGGGCCAAAAAAATTCCCGAAATTCCTTCCTGGATTTCCCGGAAAAGCCAAAAAAACCTCGAAAAAATGCAGTATTTGGCCCATATCTCGACCACCAGACCACTTAGCGACTAGAAACATTTACCAATAGATTCCTGCCATAATTTAGAACAATATTGCCGAAGAAAGTTTTCAAAAATATCCTTTCGTTCGTTCACAAAAAATTAATTAAGGAAATTGCGCTTAAATTGTCACTAGACTTTTTATTAACTTGTTTTATATCGATTCTGTTGCGTTTTGTTTCTGATGTCATGTTATGACAAAAGTATGGTAAGGGGTGGAAGCAGGCGTTGTAACTGAAATAGCAATATAAACATAAAGTGATATTTCAACGCCAAGCGTAGACAAAGGTACAGAATATAGTCCAAGTAAAGACAGAACAGACAGACCCGACGGGTTCCGAACCTACCATTCCACACGGCACCGAATCGCCTCGCCTTCCATGCCTCAAGTCAGACGTGTAACCGATTCTACCAATCAGCTCTACACAAAATAGAGCTTTCTTGGCAGACCACTATCATAGCATGTGACACGGAAGACGCGGGCTGGCGTGACCTCTGAACCCTAAAGGGTCTGACCGCTAGCCTCATAAACACAACAAGGACTATTATTCGACCAGACAAGCGACACAAGTATAGGGACGACGATACAGACAAATAGTAGCTTCCTTGAATGGGTATAGTGTAAACATGGTAAGGGGTGGAAGCAGGCGTTGTAACTGAAATAGCAATATAAACATAAAGTGATATTTCAACGCCAAGGGTAGACAAAGGTACAGAATATAGTCCAAGTAAAGACAGAACAGACAGACCCGACGGGTTCCGAACCTACCATTCCACACGGCACCGAATCGCATCGCCTTCCATGCCTCAAGTCAGACGTGTAACCGATTCTACCAATCAGCTCTACACAAAATTGAGCTTTCTTGGCAGACCACTATCATAGCATGTGACACGGAAGACGCGGGCTGGCGTGACCTCTGAACCCTAAAGGGTCTGACCGCTAGCCTCATAAACACAACAAGGACTATTATTCGACCAGACAAGCGACACAAGTATAGGGACGACGATACAGACAAATAGTAGCTTCCTTGAATGGGTATAGTGTAAACATGGTAAGGGGTGGAAGCAGGCG